CCTGAAGGGATTCTGGAGGGGTACATACATGGGGGCAAAATCATGGCTCTCTCCCAGCCTGCTCCTTCCCACATAGCTCTAACCCTGCCAGGGGCAGAGAGGGAGGGACTGAGGCGGGCTGCTCGCAGCTGCCCTGGGCATTTGGATAAGGGAAGCAGGGGCCTCTGGAATAGGCTGGCTTTCTCGGGGTTGTAAGAATGTGGGAGATGCGTCTAACACAGATGCTAGCCTCGCTTTGTGGAGGAGCAACCCCCTTCCTGTTTCAATACAGTGGCCCAGAGGGGCTGCTGTCTCCCTGGGCCTTTGTTCCTGCCTCTGGCATTTCAGTCAGCAGCACTCTGCTTCCTGGAAAGAGCCACCATCCAAGTCCACTTCTTTTGGCCAAGAGTCTTGAACGCACAGCGGTCAGTGGTGAGTTGGGGGCGGCCGAGGGACAGAGCCTCTTTGTCTCAAAGGTGACAAAAGCGCGCTGCGGCCCAGCGGACTGCGTCTGGGGACTCCAGCCCTGACATCCCGAGGACTTTTGGAAAAAGAGTTCCAGAAAGTAGCCCAGTTTATACACAGAGGTAAGGACAAGGTTTGGAAGTCGGCCACTCTGAACTGTGGATGGAGTTTCTGATTGGGACCGAGCAGTTGAGACCCAGCCGCTGAAGGACTTTCCATGTCCAGGTGGAGTGCGGGGGGACGAGAGGTCACCTCAGCAAACCATCTAGTCTGTGAGAGGCCGGTAAACTCTTCCTGCCCCAGGAAGGGGGCACACAGGAATCATTTCTGAGGTCCACTTTGACACCTGCGGCTGTCATGTCCCCACTGCTGGGCGCACACTGACAGCCGAGGCTCGGGTGTGTCTCTGGGCCCCACTGAGCCGTAGCACGGCACCGTTCTAGAAGCCTGTTCTATTGCCTGTGACAAGAACACCTGTCCAGGTTAAGAATCCTCACTGCTCTTTCCTTCCGTACCTCTCCCGTGTCACATTTCTTTTGGCCAAAGTTCTAGCTGAGGGTAGTTGGGCTCTGGGGACAGACAGGAGGAGATTCTGGAGGGGTACATACATGGGGGCAAAATCATGGCTCTCTCACGGCCCACAGAGGACTCATTTCGTCTCTTGCCGGCACAGGGATAGAACTGACTCTGCAGATTCAGAATGACGTTGGGGCCAGGGCCACCCTGAAGGAGTTCAGAGAGAAACTGGCAGGGGACGAGAAGCACCAAAGGGCCGTCCGGGCTCTCAGGGAGGAGGTGGAGAGCTTCGCATCTCTCTTCCCTCTGCCTGGCCTGCCTGACTTCTAGAGGAACCCGCACCTGCCCGGGAACCACTTGCTCAAGGACCCGGTGCCCTTCTGAGAAGAGACGAGCGGCCCCACGCAGTACCCGGCTGTGTCAACGTCTCTGTGCCCTCTGAGGGGTATTCTTTTGCGACTTTGCTCAAATTACCTCCTTCACGAATCAAAATTTGTTTTTAAGACCCACTGTTAGTAATTTAGTAATTCTGGGACAAGTTATCAGGGGGTTCACATGTGACCCTTTCTCTCAGCTGTATAAACAGTTCTTCTGGAAAAACGAAATACTTAGACTGGCTTCAGGGCAGACGACTGGAAAGACCCCGGTAGGTGTACTCGCCCTTCTCTGAGTTCCTGGGCTTCCCCCACACTCTGAGATAGACAACCACCCGAGTTCGGAGCTGCCACCAGCTGCCCCTTCTTAATACCTTGTTACGCGGAGGGCTGCCAAAGGACGACTGACTTAGGGCTGTCACAACTGAGGAGGGAAATTTTGAAGCTTCTGGTGAGTTCTATACAAGGTGCCGTGGGCTTTCTCCACAGCAGCTTAGGACATCATAGGAATGACCTCCTTCACCCCACCCCATCCCTGGGGAGTGCCAGGTCCCATCAGGGGTGAGAACCGGGGGGCGGGGGGGGTCCTGCCCTGTGCCAGATAACCAACTCCCTCCTGTAATCAGGAAACCAAATGTCACCTTCCCAGAGAAACTTTATTTTTCACAAAGCTGAAGTGCGAAACATAGATGACCGTTTTTAATAATAAGCACAATCAAATTTTTAACCACAGAATGTCTACAAGAATTATAGCTTTAAAAAATACAACCAATTTTTATATTTCAAAAATATCTGAACTCAAATAAATTAATTTCTTAAAAAGTACACTTCTCATACTATTTGTTTGGCATTTACTCTGGTTAAACTCTGGTGCAGCCACACCCACGAGGCGCTGTCGCGCATGCATCCGAGGTGCGGACGCTGTGACGCGCGCAGCTCACGTGGTGGGAGGACTTGGCGTTCACACGAGGGGACAGAGGAACATGCAGTAATAAAATAGCTTTCCAAAAATAACAGATACAAATTCATCACAGACTATGCTTTTCACTGCAGCCTTAAAAGGCATTTTTTTTTTTCCAACCCAACCTGTATAGCCAGCCAGCATTGGGCAGTCGGTGGGCGAGGCACCCCATGGTCCTGCCTGGAGGGTGCCCCTGGGGCCTGGGGTCCAGCACATTCTGGGCATTCACTCCAGCATGGGTGGGGACGGGCTGCTGCAGACTCCATGGGCCGTGGGTGACACACCAGTCCCCACATCTCTGCCTTATCTTTGGGAGCCGTGATGCTGCCAAGCCGGTCTGAAGTTCAGGGGCTCGGCTCCTCCCCCAACTGAAGACAAAAGGCCATCTCCAAGGCCCCCCCAACCCCCCCATGTGGCCTCCATTTTGGAGCTGAACAATCAATCCCACGAAGCTGGGGATCCCTAGCAGCAGCTTAATTCATTGCAAAGTGCTCGGGCCGCCGCCCCCCTCCCCCACCCCCCTCTTCCCCATGGCCGTAACCAAACCTTGACAGGTAAGACCAGATTAGGTCAGGGCTCACAGCTTTCTCCTTTGAGGGCTCAGGGACACTTGGTGTGTGCTCAGACCTTTTCAGCTGGGACTGGTTGTCTTTCCAGCCAGAAGTAGAAACTTGATGCTTTCTCTTTATTGCAGTCTGTTAATACCGTATCTCTGAAAGATTCCAGTTTTGTCACTTTCTATCACAGTATTGGGGAAAAGCCAGAGAGCTGGCTGGTTGGCTTCAGAGCACAAACCAAGGCACTTTCTTCTGAGCTTCTGAGCTTTTAAGGAGATGGGAAGCAAAACCGGATTGCTGGCTTGGGAGATCAGTTCCTGTGAGGGTGGTTCATACTGGCCGATGGGTTCCCCAGCAGCTGAGTGTTACCAGCTGGGCAGCAGCATGAGATGCTGACCTGCCTTGCAACACCAGGTCCGGGGAGGTGGGGGCACACGTCCGGCACTGGTGGAAGTGGGTGGTCGGTGTGCAGGCAAGTTCTTTAAGGCTGCCCTCAGCCTCCAGAAACACGTTGCTAAACTGTAGCTACCCTGGCACTTGGGGTACAATCTGTTGGCCTCCCTAGGATTTGAACTGGGCTGTGTTGTTTGTTGGAGGTGGAAACCTACAATCCCTTGAATATAGCAACAAAGAAGTTAAAAAGCTAGATGGGAAATGACAGGGGGCCTATCACGGTCCATTTCCAAATTCTGGTGCCATTCATCCTGTAACTTCAGCCACTGTAGTAAATCATGGACAAGTCACCAATTCTAAAATCTGAAGATTCCACCAGGGAAGCAAGATCCCTAGGGAAATGGGGAGGTGTGAGGCAGCAGCCCAGGTCGGAGCACCCCGAGGGCCGCGGTGCTACAAAGGCTTTGACTCCTCTCACACAGAGCTTCTGGAAATCACTACCGCCGGACTGCTAGCCTGATCAGCCTGCTCTCAACCTGGACCTGCTTGAAAAAGGGGTGGCCGGAGGCGGGGAAGCGGTAATGGGTTGGAACTAAAGTTGAAATAAACCCCAGAGAGACACTTTTGGTACCTGGGCCTTCAAAGTGAGTTCAGGACTGACAAAGTTAATAAGAGGCACGGATGTCCTCTATTTTCTGTGAAGTGTTTTAAAAACGTTTTATTTGAGACAAACCTCAAATGAAAATTCTTAAAGAGCTCAGTCCCACTGCATAGGGCTCCCCACACCTTAAGATTTACAGATGTGGGACTTCTAGTGGGTTCCAGTTCTCCAAAGTGGAAGGGATCTGGGAAGGGCAGCTCCACTGTCTCAAGTGCCTGCCCAAAGTGGCTCTGTCCCAGGACCACTTTGAAATCCCCCTGGAAAGAAACACTTGGCATCCAGCAACCCTTTGAAACTGCCACAATGGAAAGTTAGACTTTAACCAAAATTTCAAACCTGGGGTCTACCTACTGGTCCATGAAACCATGAAAGGACGACTCAAGGGAGACACGCCTTCCTCACTTGCTCTTTCTGAGGCCGGCCCCAGGACGGGACATACCTGTTCTGTTCACACCCGCCTGATCCCTTGCCTCAGAATCCTGGGGCCTCCAGAACCATCCCTGAGACAGAGCTTCCACAGAGCAAACCCCCTCCAAAGTGACATCTACTTCACACCATGGTAGCGATGGCTTTAGCTTCTAGAAGGCCCCATATGCCTGACCTCCTGCCTTGATCAGTTTCCCAGGTGACGGTACGGTTAAACTGTATAGAATCCACAATGGTGTGAAACAGGAATGAAAAGCAACGGTGGTGCCGATGATCACTTTCAGTCTTGTCATCCGGACCCCAGAGACCTCTCCCGCCTTGGAGATAAAATGCTGTAAGGTCACGTCCCTGGGGGCGTAAGCAGAGAGCAGCGAGCCACCCAGTTAGCAAAGCGGCATCTTGAACACGAGGGACACTGGAGGCAGCAACAAGGGGGGCAGCCCATGGAGAGAAACAGGCTTCCTACGCAGCCCTCCCCACGTGCAAACACACACTTCGCATCTCGAAGCTGCCAAGCCATTCCTGGCGACTCTTCTGTGTGTGAACATATGCAATGGGCACGGGTACAAAGAAAACCCGTGGGATGTAGACAGACCATCTGCCTCAGTAGGTTCTTTCTCAGTCACAGCCTCAGAAGCAAAATCACACACCCTCTGCCAGGGCCGTGGGCCCTGACCAGAAGCCAACGGCCAGGGGCTGACGGGCCGCACCCTCGTGCGTGAAGAGGAGCCGGGCCAGGAAAGGGCCGCGGGAGTGACGTGACACCAACGCCCCTCGGGGTCCTGCCTCCCCGACATGGCCTCCACGGTGCGCCACAGAGCCGACAGGTGGGCAGGTCTCGACAGCGAGACCCCAACTAGAGAACACGGCGCCCAGAGATGCGCACGTGCATGCTCAGGAGCAACCGCACTGTGGCTGGTCCGGCGGCACAACCGTCTCAGGACACGTTAAAAAGCAGTCATACTAAGAGTTCTCCCTACTTGGAAGAAAAAAGCAGCCATAAAAAAGAAAAAAAAAAAGTATAAAAATTTCAAGGTTGCAAGAAACCCTCCGTGTACAAACCAATGGCAACTGTAAGGAGCGTCAGGGAGGTCACGGCGGGTGAAGCAGGAGTTGTCTCCTTCCCCGAAGGGAGGACTCACATGGGGCTGGGAGTGAGCTGCTGTGAGGTGAGTGGACCTGGGGTACCTGCATGGGGCAGGAGTGAGCACTGGTGAGGTAACCATATTTGGGGGGCCTGCGTGGGGCGGGAGTGGACAGCGGTGAGGTGCATGTATTTGAGGGCACGGCGTGGGGGCAGGACTGAGCAAGGGTGAGGCCCACGTGGGGCAGATCCATGAAGACAGCCACATTAAGGAGGCTTTCCTCCTTCCCGGAGGAGACCCTGGCCCTGGGTTCTCGCCAGCTGGGCTGCCCCCCCCCAGACCACGCAGCTGAGCAGAACCCCGCTGTCGCCGTGCCCACGAGACCCTGCAAGAGGTAGTGAAGTGGTTGCAAAGGTTTGCTGCGGGTGGAGGACTGGGGGTGGTGACCTCTGCCGAGTCCCAGCATGTCTGCAGACCTTCCCCAAGAGCACAGTGTACACTCACGGCCGCCAGAAAGGCTGGTGGGCTACGCCCCGGAGGCCTGCTGGCTCCTCATCCCTTGCACCGTGCTGATGGCCTCATGGCCCAGAGGCCCCGCCTGTCTCCTGGGCCCTCCAGCTGCCAGAGTGGTTCTCACTCACGAGCAGGGACCAGCGCCCGACTCGAGCCAATCCTGCTGCCCCAGGAGGAGCAGCTGCAAAGTCCACCCACAGGCACTTCCGTGCCTAGTGAGGAAGCCAGGACCCAGACAGGGTGCTGCTCGCTCTCCCTGCAGGCCTGGGGCCCAGAAGGTTCCATGTCTGCCACCACCCAGCGGAGGCAGAGATGCCTCCCTCCACCTCACTCATTTGGGGGGCCTCCTCGGGGATGACGGGCTCGAAGGGGCCCGAGTGAAGGACCCCAGCTGGGATCTGAATGAGGCAATGGACGTTCTGTCGCCCTGTTTCCCACTAAACCGTTCCAGCGAATGCGGTGCTTCCCTTGATCTCGCCGCCCAAGTGTAGGGGAGCTGACCCTGCCAGCACGCCCCTCCCGTCCGGGCTTCACCTTTCTGCCCCTCATCCCGCCGCATCGAGAGAGTGCTGGCTCTCTCCCGGCCTGCCTCCCAGTCCTCAGGAAGCAGCCAAGCGGCCCCCTCCCGACCCCAGGGGCCACTCCTCGCCTGGCGGAGCGGCCTGTCACTGTCCTTACTGACGCCGGTGAAGAGCCAGGTGCCCGCCTCTGCCCGAGTCCACCTCCCAGACCGCCGGACGCCACCCGGGAACCAGGGCTGCCACCTTGGGTTCCCTCCCCCGATGACACCAGAAGTCTCAACAGCTCAGAGGACCGCTTGCTCACGCCAACCCCTCCCCTCCCCGTACCCTGAGTCATAGGTCTCGGTCACAGTGGCTGGGGCGGGACCTCAGATCTTGTACAAGAAGCTGGGGACGTAGTCGAACCTGAGTGTGGGGTGGCTGGTCCCGGGAGCCTCCTGCGTGTAGTGCAGCTTCAGCAGCTCCGCCAGGTACTGGACCACCTTCACATCTTCGTTCACCAGGCCCAGGTTCAGCTTCAGGAAGCTCGCCTGGCGGCTGGCAACCACTTCCTCGGTCTCCTTGTTGTGGGCGGGCAGGTGCAGGTGGTGGCAGAAGGCGTAGAGGAAGGCCTTGGAGCAGAGCTGGGTGAGCATGCTCTGGACGTGCAGATAGTAGGTGCTGCCCCGCTTGATCTGAGTGCGGTGGTCGGCCAGCCGGGGCACC